CGATCTGGCGCGGCGGTGAGTGGGAGCGGCGGGCGCCTGCTGTTTCTCCAGCATCTGGAGCCGACTCCTGAGGGTGCCACTGTGATGATCCCCTCTGTGAGCTGTCCAGCCCTGTCTGTCTGTCTGTCTGTCCTGGGCACGGCCGTTCTCCAGCCCACTAATTCCCCTCGACCTCCCTTAGCTGCATCGTTAACCACTTAGCCCAGGGGCCGGGGATTTAGCTCAGTGATTTCGCTGCCTGCCTCGCAAGCGCAAGGTCCCGAGTGATCGCCGGTACCAAAAACAAACAGACAAACCAAACAACAACCACTTAGGCTTAGGGTGTGTGCACCTGTCGTCTCCGCTGGTCCCGGGGACTGGCAGCGGCCTCTGCCCGTCTGTTAGCGGTCACTGGGCACGTCCTCCGCCCACCAAGTGGCCTGCACCTCCATCCACCTCTGTCTCCACAGGCGGCGTGGCGCACGGCCCGCGGGGCCCCACAAGCTACTACTACATGCTGCCCATGAAGGTGCGCGTGCTGGGCCTCAAGGTGGCACTGACGGTGAAGCTGGCACAGGTAGGGAGCCGCCCCGGCCCGCCGTGGAGTGGGTAGGGGCGCTGTGGGCTCAGGATGCCTGCGTCCCCAGGACGACCTGCACGTGGTGGACTCCCTGGAGCTGCCCACCGCAGATCCCCAGTACCTGACGCAGCTGGCCCGCTACCGCCGCTGGGGTGACTCCGTGCTGCTCGTGGACCTGTAAGCGCCCGGCACGGGGCAAGGGCCGGGGTGGGGTGGGGTAGGGGTACAGAAGTACCTCGGGGTTCATGCTCCTGTGGCGCAGGACACATGAGATGCCCCAGAACGTCGTGGAGGCCACTGGCAGGCTCAAGACCTTCAACCTGATCCCAGCTGTCGGTGAGCGAAGGGCCCGGCCCACCGCAGGGTGAATCGTGTCAGTCCCCCTGTCAGAACTACAGGTGGCTTGGCGCCTGCATGTGAACCCAGCATGGTGACACATGCTGGTCATCCCAGCACTCAGGAAGCTGAGGCAGGAGGATCCCAAGCTTGAGGCCAGCCTGGGAAACATAGCAAGACCAGGGATCAAAACAAAACAGCTGCACCTGACACTTGCGGACCGGCCTTGAACAGAGAAGGGCATTCCCTGACCAGACCCTGTGCTTTCTTGGAGTGCTGCCTTTCTCCAAAGAAAGGAACCAAGCGCCTGTCAAAGTCTGTTCCCACTGTAACCACCAGAGGGTGCTGTGAGCACTCATCAGAACCCAGTCTCTTGCACCTGGGCTGTCCATGGCTGTCCCCTCCACGCACCTACCGACCTGCCCCTGTCCCGTCTGGCCCATTCCCTCCCACAGTTTTCCCTGCGGTCTGGGTCTCTCTCACTGGCCAGGCTCAGGGCAGAGCCCAGAGAGCTGAGGGCGGCCTCTTGGCCAGGGTCTTGTTCTTTGAGACAGGCCCTTGAACTCACGGTGTAGCTCAGGCTGACCTTGAACCCACAGCGATCCTCCTGCCTCAGCCTCCTGAGTGCTGGGATGATGGGCGTGTACCACTGCACCCGGCTGGCCAGGGTGTTACGGACTTCAAAGCCGGTGGGAAGCCAGGCTGCTGGGTACCACTGGCACCAGATCTTGGGGTCCCCGGATGTGGCAGGGTGGAACAGGCTGACCCCATGCCCGCCCCCAGGCCTGAACGTGTACAGCATGCTCAAGCACCACACGCTGGTCCTCACCCTGCCCACCATCGCCTTCCTGGAAAAGAAGCTGCTCTGGCAGGACTCACGCTACTCGCCTCTCTACCCCTTCCACCTGCCCTACCGCGACTTCCCCTGAGCTGGGCGCTGCCTCCCTGCAGACCAGGCCCTCAGCCACCAGGGGGCAGCTGCGCACGCTTCAGCCCGGGAAGGGGTGAGATGCGCTCACAGGATGAGATCCGGTCCCGGCTCTCCCCAGTTGTGTTTGAAATAAAGTTTATTTTATTTTAATTAGGTGCATGTATTTATGTTTTGTTTTGGTACCAGGAATGAAGCTGGCCTTGCTCTTGCCAGGCAGTCGAGGCACCACTGAGCTACCTCCCCGGCCCTGTACTTAGGTATTTTGAGACAGGGTCTTGCTGTCTGGTTTAGGCTGGCCTTGAACTCACTGTATATCCCAGGCTAGTGACTCTCCTGCCTCAGCCTCCCAAGTGTTGGGATTACAGGCCTGTGCTACCATGACTGGCTAGACATAAATGTGACGTTTGGAACAGAAGTCGGCGTGGTGTCTCAGGCCTGTAATCCAGTGCTGGGGAGGCAGAGGCAGGAGGACAGTCAGGAGTTCGAGGCCACCCTGAGGCTAGCAGAGGTACAGTGCTCTTCTGTCCCTGACAGGCTGCGGCCCTGCCGTCACAGCCTTCAGCCCAGGAGCTCGGGCCCTGGTTCACAGGTAGATGTGACCTGTAAGCCGTTTAATCCCAGCTGCTCCAAGCGGAGCGTCAGAAAGCCAGGTTCTGCGGTTGCATGAGTGGGTAAATGAACCGTTAGGCACAAAACCAGTGTCGGTGTCCTGGTTCTTTTTCTTTTTTTTCCAGTATTCTGGAAAACCCAGGGCTTCATGCGTGCTGACACACTACCATTAAAGAAAGAAAAAGGCCAAGGATTTAGCTACGTGGCCCTGCACCTGCCTGGCAAGCGCAAGGTCCTAAATTCTATCCCTGGTACTGGAAAAAGCAAGTCAAGTGTTGTGAGGCGGGCTGACGTTTGTTAGGACAAACCCTTCTGTGTGTCTGCTGTGCGTCTGGGTGGTCCTGTGGGGGACACTGAAAGTACTCAGCCTCGCTGGACAGTCTCAGCCGGACAAAGGAGTCTGCTTTCTCCCACAGCAGGACTTTGAGGGACTGAGGGCAGTGGAGCTGTCAGAACCTGTCACACACCGGAAGCCTCAGCCAGATCCAGCACGGAGAGGGTTACCGTGTCTCCTGTGTGCTTTCGAGTAACTGAGAGGTGGCTACGTGCACGAGTGTGTGCTTGGAGTCCCAGCTACTTAAAAGGCTGAGGTAGGAGGGTTGCTTAAGTCCTGGAGTTTAGGGCCAGCCTGACCTGTTTTTAACATGATCATCTGCCTGGGATTCAGCTCAGTGGTGCCTCACCTGCCTGGCAAGTGGTAAGGTCCTGAGTTCGATCCCTGGTACCAAAAAAAATAATAATAACGTGGCCATGATGGCACATGCTCAGGAGGCTGAGGAGGCTGAGGCAGGAGGAACTCAAGGTCAAGACCAGTCTGAGCAACTTAGTGAGTTAACAAGAAACCAAGTGGGCCAGGGATTTAGCTCAGTGGTGCCGTCGCCTGCCTCACAAGCACAAGGACCAAAGCTCGATCCCTAGAACAACAACAGTAACAACAACAACAAAAAAACAAGATACCAAGTAAAAAAAAAAAACAAAAAAAAACAGCAACAACAAAATGAGCTGAGTGAGACACTGGGTTCAATCCCCAGTACCTCCTACCCCACAAAAGCCTTAGTGTTTACACATAAGCCACACACAACCTTTCATAGACTTTAAATTGTCCTTGGCTTTATCACAGCTAATACAATGCAAACACCATGGAAATAGTTGCCTCCTGTGTTGCTTAGGGAATAATGACCAGAAAAAGAAAGTATCTGCAACAGTCAGGGCCACAAAAATCCCCAAGACCAGAAGAGAAACCGCCGCCTAAAAACAATCCCAATTTTTCCCCAATATTTTCCGTAGTTGGTTGATGCGGAACACGCTTAGGTATTTGCCGCTCCCCCCGATGGACAGGGCCCTGGACCTTCTAGAACTCAAGGAAGCAGAGGCGATGGTGGCGGAAATCAAGTCTTTCAGCAAATAATGAGTTTCGGAATTTCCCTAATGAGATTGTTAGGGTGAGTGACCGGGGTGACCCGAGTGTGGTCCAGGGTAGAGCAGGGTTGCGTGGGAGGGTTCAGGAACACTTTTAGCTTGGAACAGGAGAGGGGCAGATGTAGCCAGGCGTGGTGGCGCACACCTGTGATCCCAGCATTCGGGAGGCTGAGGCAGGAGGATCCCCACAAGTTTGAAGCCAGCCTGGGCTAGAGAGTGAGTTCAGGGCCTCAGCTAGGCAGCAAGACCTTTTCTTCAGAAAAAAGTAAATAAATGAACAAATAAGAAAGAAAGGAGGAGCAGACCATGCTGGGGCTGAGGAACAGCGGCTGCATCGGAGCTCAGATGCCACGCGGTGGGCTCTGAGAGCTTCTGGATCCGCAGGCTCTGGTCCACCTGTGACCATCTGCTGCCTGCGGGCGACTGCCTGGCACCTGGGAGGAAGCTATTCCCTTCCTGGAGCCTGGCACTCGCTTCCCCTTTCCTCAGGGGGAGGGCAAGGCTGGGCGGAGCCGCTCCCTCCCTTGCCCGGCTCTTTTGCCGCCCCCGCAAAGGCTCGGCTGGCCAAGGACCCGCCCTGGGGTCTGCCCTGGCTCCCACGCCCACCCTCCGGAAAATCCAGGGCCAGCCGGCGCGGAGCCGCAGGCCAAGCCTTACCATGGCTCTCTGGGCTCCTGGTTGCAGTTCCTCTTGCAGCCGCAAGCCAGCGCCTGTAAGCACCTGGGTCGTCCTCTGCTCAGAACCTCCATGGCTTTCACCTGCCCAGATGACAAGCACTCCCTGCCCTCTGCCTCCCTGCTGTCCATTTCTCTATTCCACTTACTTGGCTGCAGCCACACACGGGAATTCTGGCGGTTCCTTGAGTGGTTCCTACCACAGGGCCTTTGCACCTGCCATGCCCTCCTTGTGAAACCCCCTTCCCCAGGATATTAATATCACCAGCTCCTTGATGCTTTCTGATCTTTACGCATTGTCTTTTTATCCTTGTGAACCCCTTCCCCAGGATATTAATATCACCAGCTCCTTGATGCTTTCCGATCTTTACGCATTGTCTTTTTTCTTTTCTTCTTTCTTTCGTTCTTGAGACAGGGTCCCACTATGTGTAGCTCAGGCTGGCCCCAGACTTGTGGTGATCATCCTGTCTCAGCCTCCCCAGTGCTAGGAAGACAGACAGGCATGCACCACTATTCTCTTCCCTGCTTTACTTTTAATCTCCTTTTCCACTAATGACTTATTGGGGACAGAACCCAGGGCCTCGTGCGTACAGTATAGTGGGTTTGTCTTTCTTTTCTTTGCTTTTGTGTAGCTCAGGCTGGCCCCAGACTTGTGGTGATCATCCTGTCTCAGCCTCCCCAGTGCTAGGAAGACAGACAGGCATGCACCACTATTCTCTTCCCTGCTTTACTTTTAATCTCCTTTTCCACTAATGACTTATTGGGGACAGAACCCAGGGCCTCGTGCGTACAGTATAGTGGGTTTGTCTTTCTTTTCTTTGCTTTGGTACCGGGGATCGAATTCGGGTCCTTGCGTTTGCAAGGCAGGCGGCAGAACCACTGAGCTAAATAAATCCCCAGCCCCACCCCCTCTTTTAGACAATTCAGACTGGCTTTGAGCTCGCAGAGATCTCCCTGCCTCAGGCTTTTGTGTAGCTGGAATTCTGGGTGCACCAGATCTCCCTGCTAGGTGTTTCTGTTACTCTGGTCTTCGCCGAATGCCTTCCACCTGGAAAGGTGCCGGGCCTGCAATAGGCGCGCCGGAAACACCGAGCCACGCGCGCAGAGTCATTTAGGCCGAGAGGGGGCGCTCGCCGGGCGGGCACCCGCTGCGGGGACCACAGGACCCCGAGAAGTTAGCGCTGAAAAACCCACCTGAAAATCACCCGCGGGAGCCCGGGATTTTCCCAGAGCCTCCGAGGTGCAGGGACGCCCCTGGTCGCACGGTGTGACTTGTCCCCGGCGGTCTCGGGCAGAGATCCCGCGTGCCCCAGCCCCTCCCCCGGACAAAAGATCCCCGTGGAAATCCCTTGGAGCGCCCGGAGCGGGGCAGAACGCGGCCCGGGCACGCGGAGGATCTGGGACAGCGGATTCCGGCCGCTCCCTTCCGGTTCGGCGGTGCGACCTCTGCGGAGACCTCGGTCTCCATGGCGACCCCGCCAGTGTCCCCCAACAGGAAGCCTCGGAGGGCGGAAACGGGGTCCTGAGGTCACATGCGCTGCGCAGACGTCCTCGCACGGGGGCTGCCGGCCCTCTCCCACGCCCCCCTCGGAACCTAGGAACGGCCTCAGTTTCCCCACAGAGGACAGGGGCTCCTGCGCCCGCTCTCCTCTCTGCTGTCCTGAGCTGCTGCCTCAGTTTCCCCCGCGGAGGAGCGGTCAGCAGCCGGGGAGGTCCACGTGTCAGGTTCGTACTGCTTCCTTCCCTTTTCGGGGAGCTATGACTTTGCCCCAGAGGCCAGAACCGAAAGGGGAACCAGGGCGCGGAGAGGGAGGAGGTGGGGAGTTGGAAGCACCCGGGGTGGAGCCCTCAGCGGACGTGAGCATGGGACGTGAGCATGGGACGTGAGCATGGGCTCCTTAGCCGGCCAGGGCTTGCCGGAGCCCGCATCTGGCCAGGCCTGCTCTGTTGCTACCCTGACGTCACCGGGGTGCGGACGGGCCGCTTGGGGAAGGGGCACTTTCCATGGAGGGCTGCCCGAAAGAAACCCTGGACCCCCATTCCGCAAAGGGGCTGCTGCCCTTGGCCAAAGATGCTTGCAGAGCTGGGGAATCAAGACTTGAGTTCACCCAAGGTGTGGAGCCCTCCCAGCACTCAGGAGGCCGAGGCCGGAGGGTGTCAGTTCAAGGTCAACCTGGGCTACATAGTGAGTTCAGGGCAAGCCTGAACTACGCAGTGTAGGGAGAATCCTGTGATAAAAACTATAAACAGCCAGAGGACCTTGGGTCAAAAACAAAAACACCCAGGCGTGGTGGCGAACGCCTGTAATGTCATGACTGCAGAGGCTGAGGCAAGAGGATCTCGGAGAGTTCAAGGTCAGCCCGGGCCTGGGCTACATAGTGAGTTCAGTGCCAGCCTGAACTACAAAGGGAGACTCTGCCTCAAAAACAAAACAAGGACTGGGCATTTAGCTCAAGTGGCACGGCGCCTGCATGGCAAGCACAAAGTCAAAACAAAACAAACAAACAAAACAAAACAGGGCTGCAGATTTAGCTCAGTGAAACCAGTCCTGCCTTTCAGCTCAAGGGCCTGAGTTCAATTCCCGGTACCAAAAACAAAAACGCAAAACCCCAACCGAGAGACTTGGCTTCAGATCCCTTCACAGCTCAGAGCCTCCGAGTTTACCCTTCCGTGGAAGGGACTCGGTGACCACCCCGATGGTCCCGTAGAGCGGGCTGGAGCAGAGTGAGCGGGGTAAACGGTAAATCAGGGTCACCCAGTCCAGGGAGGGGACGTCTGGCCGCCTGGAGCAGGCCGTGGGCCCCTCCCTCCGCCGCCGCCCCCCATTGCTTCAGCTGGGAAATTCCGGGGAGCCGGGGCCAGCGAGGCAGGACCACCACGCTCACCGGGCACCCTCCATCCGGAAATGCCGGAGCCCTTGTTCGGGAGGGGAAGGCATGGGGTTTCCGGGAAAGTGGCGGCGCCGCCCCTTGGTCCGCTGGTTTTTTTCCCTGGTATAAAAGACCGCGCGCTCTCTGCGCCCCAGTTGCGCGGAGCCCGGTCCTGCTGCTCCCGCGCTCCGCCCCGCTGGCCA